ATGGCATTCCTTCTCTAATATCACACACTGTCTCCCATTTCCCTTCTCCCTGACAGTATTTTACTAGTTGGAAAAGTACAATCTAAAACTAAGCAGAAAAGTAAGGTAACTTCGGAGGGTGAGGGAGATAACAAGGACAGCTAGGTGTACCTAGGTCTGTATTTATAATCAGACAAATAAGCCACAAAGTCAGCTGCCTTTTTAAAGCCTTATAAAGCACTATTACCATAGGAGCAAGTTGGTTATATTTACTTATATTTTCACAAACAGCAATTGATTATTAGGGTTTCTAGATATTAAGTAAGGAGAAGACTATTCCTGCACAGGTATGTGGACGAGACTCCACCCCTCCAATTATCTTTTGCAATGGTGCTGCCCTCCTGCAGTAATCTTCTGCTTTTTTTCACCCACGTTCTGTATGAGCCCAGAATAGGCCCAGTCAAGAAAAACTCTCTTACATTCCAACTTTCCCAGTCAAGTCAACTGGAAATTTGGATCTGCACAGAACAGTGGGCCAAATCTCCAGACTTCTACTTGCACTCATTTTATAATGTGCACTTGTGACGTATTTAACATTCAACCTAACCTTGTCCACTCACGTAGGTATAGCTGTGCCACCTTTACTACTCAAGTTGCAAGCCTTCTGTACAATGTCTCTATCATCCAAGCAATGCTTTCTACACCTCAGTTTGATTTCTCAAATGGTTAACAGGACATTAAGAAGGATAAAGAAACAAAATGCCATAAACCATATGTAATAGCTCCAGGCATTCTCTTCAAGGAGAACATGGCTAAAGAAAACACCAAGAAATGACCTAGTTCAAGGTTACTTTGTAAGGGCCACACATGAATGCAGGACAGGGCTAGGAAGACATTCCCCTGTTGTCTTTTGATTTCAGGTTAGAGAATAATCAGGCAGTGCATCTACTATCTACCCACCTAAATGTGGAAACAGATCAGTGTCCAGCTGCTGTTTTCGAGTGCACAGTTTCACCAGTCTCTGTAGCCGGCTCATGCAGGACGAGTGCGGAGAGAAGGCTGTGGCTTTCATGAGGACCCGATCAGTCCTTGGAGCGTCCGTGACAGGAGCCCTAGCGGGTGGCAGGACAGGCAGAGGTCTCTTGCTAGACAACTGCCGGGCTTGTGCTATAGTGTGTGTGGTGGGTGCCACTCCCTGCATTGGTAGGCTGGTGTTCGGAGGTTGAGGTGACTTGCAGACTATGCCCTGCGGTAGCCCTGTCGGCTTTAACGAAGCTGATGAAGGTGGCAGATGGGAGTGCTGCTGCTGCAGAGGCTGCTGCTGCAAAGGTGCAGGAAGGGGGCTAAAGTGCTCTTGGCGAACTTTTAAAATCTCTGTCTCTCTCTGGCGCTGCCGGTTTTGAGCCAACTTGCTCTGCAACTTTTTCCTCACCGTTGCCCCTTTCTTTAGGTCATCATCCTCCTCGTTGAAAGCAAAGGGGTCTTCTAATTCTGCCTCCAGGTAATGGAGAGGGAGCCTAGCCCCTGGAGGGGAGAGGGACATCCCATCCAGTCCATTGGGCATCTTCAAGGCCAGGGTGGGCACTGTCAGACTGAAGGCCATAGCATCCATCTGATGCCTGACCTTTACCTCCTCTATGGGATCATTCTTTTTCTTCCTCTCCTTTTTCGGTATAAAGCCAAGTACCTGCAGGTGGCTGTTGCAGTACCTTTGAAAAGTAAAAGCAGCTGGTTATTAACTCAACTCTTGTAAGTAAAATCTGAAGAAAACAGACATCGCTAAAGGGAAATCCACACACCCCCATCTCATGCAAATTTAGATCGAAACACAAGAGGTTTTATAAGAATTGTACACAACTGCTTCTAATACAGCAGGTAACTATGGTGTTCCCAACCTGTAACAGAAAACAAAAATTTATACAAGTCACAATCTGTAATCTTAAAATATAAAAGTCCTCAGTCATTATTCACAAGAGATTCACACACAACCATTCAAAATATTTACTCTCTAATAGGGTAAATACTCACAAACCAAATCAAACAAAACAAATGGACTGTCTGATAAATAAAACAGTAAGAACTCAAGCCATTAACTCCGATCTTTCAAAAGCTCCCAAGAAAAAGTCCATTGAAGACTACTTCCTTTTATTCGGCTGTTCTTCACTGGAAGTAGTTAACATTTTCATCAACGCATATATTATTGTTATGAATTCCACTGTAATAGGGAGCAGTTTCTTATATGGACAATCTCACTAGCGATACCTGCCAAAAAGGGTCACTATGTGCACTTAATTAAGAAGTAGCAGAAATATTTAAGTTCTGGTTTAGTAGTTTAACAGGATGAATTTTGTAACCAGAAGATTAGCTGGTTTCTTGAAAAGAAAAATCTAGTTTAAAAGAAATTCTCTGTTGCTAGAAAATGTTTACACAATGCCAGGAATAGGTACACATACAATCCACAAATGCCTTTATGCTCTTCTAATGTAAAAAAGCTTTTAAAGTCACGCTATTAAAAAAGAAAAAAGAAAAAAGAAAAAAAGGAAAAAAACCTTTGTAAGTTTGTCATGAAAATTAAAAGGAGTAACAATTTATGGCTACAGATAACATACTCAGAAATAAACAATTAATTTTTGTCTGATTAAAACAAGCAGGTGATAGAAATGTAGGAACCATGATCTGATCCTTTTCCTGTTTCACACAGGCAAGCCCTCCTGCCTCTGTAGAATACCACCAGCAATCAGACTGCTGCCCTTGCAGGATCCCATCTAAAACTGCAGCTTACAGATGAAAACAAAGATATGAGGAAAAAATTATGTCTACATCAAGGTGTTAATGAACAAGCTAAGGACATACCCATGAAGGCATTCATGGATATGAATAAGGACAAGATAAGGAAATACACCATGAAGGTATAAAATCTGATCAGCATGAATCTGAGAAAAATAAGTTTTGTTGAACAAATAGGTTAAAATGAAATTATTGCTGGTCTTCATGGAGAAAAAAGTAACACAAAAGCCCAAACCCACCCCCAAAAAATGTTTAATACTTCAGTTTAGTGACTTTCAATTTGCTGTTCTACCCCTGAAGAAGCATATGTGCAAACTGCTTCTAAAGGGTCCATAAAAGGTAAAAAAGAAAAAGCAAATTCATATACGTTCCTTAATGATCTCCATACATGTAGTTTCTTGAGGGATCCACACCCATAAGGATTCACAGATCTGAAAAGGCTGGAAAGTACTGCTACTTATTATTGCCCAAATAATTTCTTTATTACATTAAGTTCTAAGCAATAAATAAATCTAAATGAGGCAAGCTGAAAGCCAGCACATGTGAGTCCTTATTAGAATACACTGGAATACTGTTAATTTGTACTGAGAGATACACTTCTAAAAATAAAATTATATAATGAGGGCTCAATAAAGCTTCCCTTAAAGTCAACAACACTATTCCCATAATTAAAATTAAGCACTTTTTAAATATTTTGTTTGAACAAGACTGATGATATCAGTTAGAACAGCACGTTTAGTATGACAGAAGAAAAAGTAATAAACAGACAAGACAAACACAATGGAATTTTTTCCCCTCTCATTCCAACAGAAAAGAGTTTTGCTCAATGTGAATGCTTCCTTTATATTGTTCACAACTTAAATATTGCTGCCTTGTGCTTGTGCAGGAGGGAGGAGGTAAAAGTGATTAGACTGTTTTCATTGTGAAAACTGAGAAAGCAAAAAATAGAAAATGTGAACAAACATATGAAAAGGTTGCTAACATTCTCTTGAGTTTTGGGGTTTTGCTTGTTCGTTTAACTCTAAGAATCATTTTTATATGGCAGAGAATAAAGCTTTGGCTCTTACAACTGACCATACTGCATCACTGAAAGCCAACAGTATCTTACACAAGCATCACCTCTAGACACAAACCATAGATACCAGGCTACAACATAAGGAAAATACAGATCACGTGCACACGCAGACTCCAGTACACATTGACTTGGCTCTGTGCTTTTGGTTCTATCAACTCTCTGTCTTCTGGCATAACCAAGGCTCATACACCTTGCCTGCTGGACTAAAAGGAGCAAGAAGCAGCTGGGAAAAGCACTTAAGTCTTCACTGGGTAAAGAAGACTACATGCAGGCAGTTTTGGCTAGGCATAATTTATTAGCACCAACTCAACCTTGGCCTTGCCAGGCTGTAGCTGGTCCCATGCAGAGCCAGGTGGGCACGCACACCCACTTCCCCATCCTTCCAGGATGGCTTTTTAGTTGGCCCTAGCCCGAACTTGCGCTGATTTTACACAGTGCTGCAGAGCCTGGCGCAGACGTTAACTGACTCTGCTGGAACCAGTCTGTAAACAGCTGAGTTAAGGCAATAAACTCTTTGGATCAGATGTAATGCCGGGGAAGGCGTTAGCAGTTCATGCTCCATGGAAGACAGATTACTGGGAAGACTGGAATAGCACCTGCAAGAAGCACAGTCCCTTTCACGTGGCTCTGAGTGGGTCAAGCTGGCCCTACAAAAGCCAATTCTGATGTGCTGGTCTTGGCACAACCCCATGCAACACTACAGGCTTGGGGGAGAGCGGCTGGAAAGCTGCACAGCGGAAAAAGACCTGGGGGTACTGGTTGACAGCCGGCTGAATATGAGCCAGCAGTGTGCCCAGGTGGCCAAGAAGGCCAATGGGATCCTGGCTTGTATCAGGAATAGTGTGGCCAGCAGGAGTAGGGAAGTGATCGTGCCCCTGTACTTTGCACTGGTGAGGCCACACCTCGAATACTGTGTTCAGTTTTGGGCCCCTCACTACAAGAAAGATGGTGCCTTGCTGGAACATGTCCAGAGGAGAGCAACAAAGCTGGTGAGGGGTCTGGAGCACAAGTCTTATGCAGAGTGGCTGAGGGAACTGGGGCCTTTTAGCCTGGAGAAGAGGAGGCTGAGGGGAGACCTTATCGCCCTCTACAACTGCCTGAAAGGAGGCTGTAGTGAGGTGGGGGTTGGTCTCTTCTCCCTGGTAACGGCTAATAGGACGAGGGGAAATGGTCTGAAGTTGCGCCAGGGCAGGTTTAGGCTAGACATTAGGAAAAATTTTTTCACTGAAAGGGTTGTCAAGCACTGGAACGGGCTGCCCAGGGAAGTGGTCAAGTCCCCATCCCTGGAGGTATTTAAAAGACAGCAGAGAAGGTGCTTAGGGACATGGTTTAGTGATGGGATGGCAGGGTTAGGCTAATGGTTGGACTTGATCTTAAAGGTCTTTTCCAACCTAAACAATTCTACGATTCTATGAATTTGTCACTTCTATAACCTGCCTGTGAGTTATTCTCAGCTGACAGTATCACCTCAAGTATCTAATATATTTTTTTCCGCCTTCCTTACTCAGTGCCAGTGACACTCATTCTGTGCAGGTGAGGTCAAATGCAGTCAGCACATATGGTAAGAGCGGTGGTTTGACATCCATTAAAACTATCGTAACATGAAGCACACAAAAGGTGACGGGCTCTAAAGGCTTCAGCTGGACAGTTTCCCACATCACTGGGAGGGCAAGAATCCAGACACTGAGGTTTTCCACCTACAACTGCATTCTGCTTCCCAGTACATCCCAGACTGGTATCAAGTTCTGTCACTTATTTAAAGGAAGATCCAAATAAACCAGAGAGCATTTTGTACATTAACAAAATATTTCAAGAATCTCTTGAAAGAGGAGAATTAGAGATAACATGGTGTTTAACCCAGCTAAATTGTAATAACCCTATACTTAAAAAAGAACTTCCTTATACATGTATTTGGATAGGAAAGAATTAGATGACATGTACTGAGAGGAACCATGTCTGTACCATCCCGTATATATTCTTTAAAAAAAACAAGATAGTGAATAGAGTGAAACTAGACTTCAAATAAGGCAATGAAGTCATGCACTATTAATAGATTTAATTTGTATAATGTTAATGGTTAATAAGAAATCTAATAACATAGCAGCATATTAAACATCTTTGTGGCTGGTAGCATCTCATTTGTCTTGGGTCAAGTGATAATTTTTTTTAATTATCTGTGGACAGACTATGAAGCTTTTAGCATATAATGCATGCATCCTGTTAAGATATTTTATTTTTTATAATCTTTAAAATTATGTAAGATAGCTGTCAGAGCATCATACAGCCTGCTTCTGATCATGTACATTTACATGTCTAAAACTGTGACAAAATGACCATCTGACAGTAATTTTGTACACAGAAAATTAAAAACTACAAGTGATGAACTCAGACATAGCAAACGTCTTTATATCAGAGTGTGAAAAAAGTCTCCTAAGAAACAGATACAGGTTTGCCTGCCAAAAAAAAAAAAAGTTTAGAGCAGGCACAGTCTTATCACTAGCATTCAGCAAATTTTATTGTTAAAATTAAAACTCTGCCCTGAGAAGCAGTCTTTTAAAATATTCCTTCAAACTATCACATCCTCTCATTTGAAATTAAAAGTTTATTTTCTCCTTCAGACACCTGCTGTCCTCTTCAAGTACTGTAATGTGACACTCGACATGCAATTGAATAATTCTAATATAACATACACCAGATGTCATGACCACACTTCACTTTAACTTGAGAAAAATCAAAAAGAACAAAGTGTGAACTCAATTCAAGGTGTAAAGAAAAATCTCAAATTCCCTGGGAACATAAGAGACCTAAAAAAGTGTCATTAAGTACTATTATTTCTATTGTTTTTAAGTATGACCCCTGGTAAACAGCAACTCTGGCTCAGTCAGCTCTTGCATCTGAAATTACAGCATACTATTTGTGCTAATAATTTCCATGATCATTTCTGCGATCTTATTTCCAAAGAGCCTCAATTGTACAGTAGCAAAGAAACAGCCACCGACTGTCAAATTACAGCTTAAAGTTATTCATCTTGTACCATTTGAGCATTTGCCCTACAGCTTTTGACAAACATTCATGTTTTTTTCTCACTTCATCAGTCTCCTCAACTGAAATGGCAGGTGAAGTGCAAGTTAATTTAGCGCACAGTCCAACTGTTGTTTCAGACAAGAGAGGGAGCTGTGAGCTGAGAAGGAAGTTATATGTAGGGCACAGTGGGAACACTGCTAATAATGCAAAAGGTTAGTGAATGGCAGCTAATAATGTGAAAGGTCAGTGAATAGTGGTTTGATTCTTTTTTGGCCTATTTTGTTTGTATTTTAGGTAAAAAAAATCATTTCTAACAGAACAAGCCTCAGATAGTTAACACACACATTAATTAAATACTGTGTTACTGGCAAAGCCTGCAACAATGACTCTGAAAAATTAAAGTCATATATACCTCACAGCCAAGATTAGACAAATTCTGCTATTTCAGCCCAAGCAACACCAACGAGACTGGTGTCAGGAAGTCTTAAAGAGCAAGGAAGAACGTACTTGTGGTTACAGTACAGGCTGCAATTCAGGAAATCTGGTTTGAATTCCCAGCTCTCCGGTAACTTCAAGCACTATCTCTTGTAAGGCATTTAATACCTGGGCACCTTGGGCATCTTCATTTGGACAGGGAGGGGGAGGAAGGGGGGAAGCAAAGAAGAAAGAGAGTGTGCAGCACTTTCCTACCTGGCTCATCTGTTATCAAGTAATAGTAATTTTATTCCAGTGATACAACACTACAGATCAGTATCAAAATCACAAACACTGAACTGTAATTCTGGATTCATCCCTATGTGTCACCGCTCCCTAAGCCCAGAAGGTATGCATTTTTAACTGTCCTGAAAAAGTAGATGGAAGTGTGCTTTTGGCACAGCTGGCCAACTGACCAGGCCTTTTTAAGAGCATGTACTGTGAGTGACAAAGCAAATTAATTAGAATAGCAGGTATAGTGTAGCAGGTTTGATCCACAGTTTATAGTGAATTTGAGAAAAGCAATGAACTCTCCCAAAAACTTCCTTGGGAGTAAGTTACTGCCCACTTTCTGAGTACTTGACTCCCACAGAAAATGAAGTTTACTTGTCTTAAAACAAAACCCTCAAAGGAACACCTGGAATGCAATCCACTAGGCCAGTTCCTCCCACATTGCAAAACCAGGCAGCATCTTAAAAGAAAACTCATGCCTATGTCCCAGCCACTTCCATTTTGCAGATGGGTAACCACAACTCACCTACGGTCCTCAGATTTGGGGATGGGGTTGGTGCAGCGTTGGCTGTTATACTTGGCCACATATTCACATTGCTTGAAGGGGGCAGTCTTGTCCTCCAGAACGTGTCTGATACAGAAGGCGTAGCCGTTAAGTCGCCTCTGCTTGCACAGTTTGGGGCTATATGAGCACAAGGGCTTATTGTCAACCTCAGAGAAGTGTATGTGTTTGCCTTCATACATCACGTGACTCTATTCCTTGTGAACATCAGCTGAAAGAAGGAAAATATTAAGACAAATCACATAAGGAAAAAAACCCCACATTCAGTTTTAGATTGTATGTTTCATTTTGGCAGGAAAGAGGGACCCAAAACAATACCTGATGTTAAATCTTCTGTACCATATCAATGTTAAGAGAGAGCCCCAGGGATACCACTATCCTGGAATGATGATGAATCAAGATGAAGCAGATTGTCTAAGGAAAATATCAAAAAGGTCAGAGTCAGTCAGAATAAAATAGATATTACTACTGCTTAATAAGTAAGTGGACAGATGTAGCCACTAAACCTCTGGTTCAGCTAATATCCAATAAGCCAAATCCACTAGCACAATAGTTTTCAATCAGTAGTCACAGATCTTTGGAAACCATGAAAGGAAATTATTGGGCAGAAAAAAAATTTACTGCCACTGCACTTAAACCTGTTAAACAAAACTCCACTCATCTACCAGCAAGTGATTAGGAGCTATAAGTTGCAAAAGGTTATGTGTCAGATTAGATCACTTGCTTTCAGGAATCAAGTTGAATGATGATTAACCCATTTGATTGCAGAGGTTTTACTTCAAATATCTTTGCTTACAAAAACTCTGGCGACTATCCTTGGTCTGCAAAATTTTAATTTCATCAGGCAGTGCAAGAAAGCTTTTTTTTTTTTTAATTAAAATTTTTAAAAAAAAAAGCTTTCTTTATCACACCTGATGAAGTCTTCAGATCTTGTAGGTGCCCACAGCTTTTGCAAACATCAATATGCAGTCCCTCCTGAGGTCATCATAGTTCTTCAGAGCTTTTCCTACCTCGTTGTACTTCTTTTAGGTAAATGTGGGCATTAATAATGTCAGAGGCAGTACTCCCATCAATGCCAGGATGGCTGAAATGTCATTTCAGCAAGAGGCTGGAGTTTTTTCCCCCTTAAAACAGACTCCTACAGTGCAACAAAATAACAAATGTATGCAATCATAAGGTACTTGTTAATTTTCTAACACTACAGAGTCTTTGGCAATCATCTTTATTATAAAAAAAAAAAAAAAATACAAAAAAACCCCACAGCACCCTGAAGCAGCTTCAAATATAATTAATAGTACACATATTCTGCAGCTACTCTGCTACACCCAGCTTAGCCTGCAAAAGGCAGCTTTTATTCAGAAAGGCCATCCTGAAGCACTGGAATAAACTCTTTTGAACATGGTACATTCAGTACTCAGTTCAGTTTCATATGTGTTATATACCAAGCAAAGGAATGTACATAGAGGTGATATTCAGGAAATATGTAATAAATTAAAGACATGTGACAAATGTACAGATTACCACCTCAATCAACTTACTTGTTCCCAAGGCCTGAAATAGCAAGAACATGATTGCAAGGAGGGACATAGACTTTGCACAAAAGATGCAGTTTGCTCTTGTGAAGGTACAAGCCTTCACTTCCCACTGTATAAAAGAACCTTGAGAAAATGACAAGCCCTATGGCACTGGGGATCTAGAAAAGCAAATTTAAGTCACTAGGGCAAAACATAACACCCTATCACACCTCTGACAGTAAATTGCATAAATTAGGACTTTCATTATCTAGCTGGAGAAGCAGAAGGACAGAAGACTGCTAAAAATTTAAAAACACACTTAAAATTATCGAAACCTTTGTATATGCACATGTGCAGCATGCACAGCATACAGAATAGAGACACGCGCTACAAAATCTAACTAGCACGAGTGCATGCGACCTGATTAATCATTTGACAATAACAAGGATCGTTTTGTATTTCCTCTTTATATACATAGTACCCTTTCCATGCACACAGGCAAGCACACACACCCAGGAGCAGGGGCCTCACGCTTTGTTTATGCCAGATAGCCAAAACATGAGCACAGACATCTAATCCAGTTCCCATCACCTTTCCCAACTTCTCTGAATGCATGGAAGTACATGAAAGTACAGAGCACATACAATATATATTTGAAACTAATAAGTGGAGTATGATCCTTCATAACATAGCAGTCCTAGGAACAAAAAAAATTTTGTTGTTGGCTGCGCCCTTCAAAAAGACAGAATATGAAGAGGGAAGTATCTCTCCTTTAGCATGCTGAGAACATGCTTTCAGACACCTTTTTTAAGGCAGATACTGACATACGCCTCAGGGTTATCCAGCAACAATGTGAAAATAAAAAATAAATCCCATGGTGACATGTCCAATATGGGAGCTGTGACCGGGGTTTGGGTCCCATATGTTTGAGACAGCCTCTTCCATTACTATGGCAGAAAAAGTAACCAAATGAGTCTTAACTAATTGCATGTCATACACAGAACAAAGCTGACAGAAAGCCTTTTGCTCTGGAGTTTGCTTCTCTCAACAGTTACCCTAAGCTCATATTTGGAGGCATACTGGACAGGATGAAAAACTTGAACAAGTGCATCTTGCAGTTGGGTGACTCACATGCTGCTCTCTATTTCTTTCTGTTTTATTTACTGTCTTCTTTTAAGCTATACTATCATGCTTTGCAGAGTTTTTGACACATCAATGACCTTCTCCTCTTTTGCACAACCCAGCAACATTTCTTTTCTGAAGGTTATCAAGCAACAGACCAAAGAAAAACAGTTCCTCAGAACGGTTCCAAAGTAAACAGCAAGAAACGCATACCTGGTGTGCCTCCATTAAGCTTCTGTAAAGAAACTGCTCTGCAGTTCCCAGCCACTATAATCCTGGATTTATTCTTGTGCCCCCAGTCTTATTTTTGGATTTAACTCATAATTAAGTCTTATTTTTGCATTTAACTTGACTGTGTCAAGGCTGGCATAGTATTTTACTTCTCACTTGCCTGAAAGATACACAGCACAAGTACGCTGCCTTATGAAACATTTAAGCAGAAATACTGACAATAATCCTCAGGGAAACCAATGAGCTTGAACATGAATTTTTAGGTCTATATATACACTAAAAGAAGCTCATGCAAATATAACAATATTAAAAGTCCTGATAGGAATCAATTAGTACAACTACAGTGTAATGAACAAAAAGAAAGCTAATATAGGTAGCAGCCAATGTAATATATAAAAAAAAACCCCTACAGCAACTCCCTCGAACTTGCAGTTATATCTTCATTGGCAGATTCGTACACAGACTCCCCGAAATACAGTGGCTCTGTGTGGATAAACTGCCAGGATCAGAGACTGAAGTTGTACTTAATCTAAAAAGAGATTTTTCTTTTTACTTCCACAGCACACTATATAGATGTGTGTGTGCGCACATATATAAAAATAACAAAGACTTTTATATCTATTGATTCTGATTTAATCTGATGCAGTATTTTATTTTTAACAAAATACACAGGAGTTCTTAACAGAGCTTTTTGCTGCTACACAAAAAGCTGCACAAGCATGGAATAGGCACATGTTGCTTAACTGAAGAGAACTGAAACTACACTTAGCTAAATAGTGGGTGGGGAAGAAATTATTTTTGTCCCACAGGATTCAGTAAGAGATGACGGAAACATGGACTTCCCCTGGAAAAATCAAATGCTTAAGCAGCTGTACTTCACTGCAAAAATATCAGGGTACAAAACTTTCTGGAAGCTGTTTTATGCCTGCATATGCTCAAACCGGCTTTAGCCACAACCCATGAATGACAAACCAGCTGCTTCTTGAAGAACCTAGATTTTCCTTAAACAACTGCATCTAAATAAAAGACTTTGAGTTAGTCAGAAGCAACAGGGCAAAGAACAGAAGAAAACCCAAAAACATGTGCCATTGCCAAATGATGTAAGACATGAATGAGGTTTAAAAAAATCATGGTAGCGGGTAAGGTGAATATAGAACCATATAATGCAATATTAGAACCAGGGGTACTTGGTGAAGCTAGCAAGAGATTGACTCAAAACTTTAGTATTTCTTCATTTTTACTACTCACAGGTAGTGAACTACTGAAACTTGCTGTCATGGGAGGCTGTGGAAGCAAACAGTATCATCAAGTTCAAAAAGACAATAGAAAAGTTCATAGAAAATAGGGACACAAGTGATGTACTGCTAGTAAGCCTAATTTAACAAATACAGATGTTGGAGGAATAAGAGAAGAAAACACTAAAAAGCAGCTGGGCTTTCATGCTCTTCCTAAATAGCATCAATTATTCCTACTGCCCAACACAGAACAGTAGGTTGGATTGATCCCTGGTCTGACCCAGCAGGGTATTTCTTACATTCTTCTGAGGTTACCGCTAACACTTGTGATTTGGTAACATATTCATTTCTCCACTTCTCCTATTTTTTATTCCTGAGCAGTTGACTAGAAGAAAATCTCCTCCCCCTGGCAAAAGCCCTAACTGGACATGTGAAGAGCAACAAACTTAGCATCCCAGCAAGGCTTTATAGGAAGGACAGGCAGGACACAGAGCAAAGCTGTGCTCAGCGACATCATCAGTCAGAGCAGAGCTGCTTGTCCTGCTGAGTGCAGCCACCGGTGGTCCGTAAGACAACAGAAGGTGGTTTGCAAAGTGACTGTAAAAAGAGAAACGAAAGACTTAAATACACACAGGTACACACCTGCGCAACCATCAGTACCTGCTGTCAGGCACAGGAAGAAGCCAGCTCCCAACTGCTTTTAGAACTGGCAAGCAGACATAATCAGTTCCCTTGCAGTGCACATCAGCTCCAAGACAACAAAGCTGTAGCTCTGCGCTCCACATACCCTCTCCCAAAGCAGTTAAACAGT